AAAGGTTCCAAGAAAAAAATCCACCATGACTAAGTCCTTCGGGCTGGGTGGTCGCTTATTTTGGAAGGCCCCCTGGGGTCAGCAAGTGCCTGAAGACAAATTCCACCATGACTAAGGCTTTCGGGCTGGGTGGTCGCTTGTTTAATACACCCCTTGGGATGGGCAGGTTGGTCTCATGTTTCGAACATTCCTCAGATTGGGTGGGCACTTGGGAAGACAAAATTCATCATGACTAAGGCCTCCAGGCTTTGTGGTCACTAGTTTCAGAAGGCCCCTCCGGGGTCGGCAAGTGGTTGAAGACAAAATCCACCACGACTAAGGCCTTCTGGCTGGGTGGTCGCTTGTTTAGTACACCCCTTGAGATGGGCAGACTGGCCCCCTGTTTCGAACATCCCTCGGATTGGGTGGGCAAGCGTGGAGACAAAAATCCACCATGACTAAGGCCTTCGGGCTGGGTGGTCGTTTGTTTCGGAAGGCCCCCCGGGGTCGGCAAGTGCCTGAAGACAAATTCCACCATGACTAAAGCCTTCGGGCTGGGTGGTCGCTTGTTTAGTATGACCCTTGGGATGGGAAGGTTGACCCCCTATTTCAAACATTCCTTGGATTGGGTGGGCAAGTGCGAAGACATGGATAGCTCGAGCAGACCTCGGAGGCAGGTCGATGATTTCTGCTTGGTTCATTTGGTTTGATATTAGTGTATATTGGTCCCTAACCTCATTGGCAGGTCGATCAAGCTTATCATAGACAGCTCGAGCAGTTTAATGGTTTTATTTGATTTGAATTTGTCGAATTTGTGCTTTTGACCTCAGTGGCAGGTCGATCAAGCGTATTACGGATAGCTCGAGCAGGTTAATGATTTTTTTTATTTTGTTTTGTGAAATTTGTGTTTCTGACCTCAGTGGCAGGTCGATCAAGCTTATTATGGATAGCTCGAGCAGGTTAGTGGTTTTATTTGATTTGGATTTGTCGAATTTGTGCTTTTGACCTTAGTGGCAGGTCGATAAAGCGTATTATGGATAGCTCGAGCAGGTTAATGGTTTTATTTGATTTGGTTTTGTAGAATTTGTTCTTTTGACCTCAGTGGCAGGTCGATCAAGCTTATTATGGATAGCGCGTGCAGGTTAATGGTTTTATTTGATTTGGATTTGTCGAATTTGTGCTTTTGACCTCAGTGGCAGGTTGAGTAAGCGTATTACGGATAGCTCGAGCAGGTTAATGGTTTATTTGATTTGGTTTTGTGGAATTTGTGCTTTTGACCTCAGTAGTAGGTCGAAGCTTATTACGGATAGCTCGAGCAGGTTAATAGTTTTATTTGATTTGGTTTTGTGGAATTTGTGCTTTTGACCTCAGTGGCAGGTTTATCAAGCTTATTACGAATAACTCGAGCAGGCTAATGGTTTCATTAGATTTGGTTTCGTGGAATTTGTTCATTTAACCTCAGTGGCAGGTTGATCAAGTTCATTGTGGATAATTCGAGCAGATGGATGGTTTTATTTGTTGTAGTTCTGTTGTATTTGCGCTTTTGATCCCAGTGGCAGGCTGATGGTTTTATTTGGTTTGGTTATGTTGTATTGGTGCTTTCGATTCTCCCGACCTCAGTGGCAGGTCGATAGTATTCATGATGGCTCGAGCAGGTTGATGGTTTCTTATTTCATTCTGGTTCTATCGAATTATTTTTCGATCTCAGTGGCAGGTCGAGAAGATGGTAATTATTATTGTTCGAGCAAGTTGATGGTGTACTTGATTCCGATTTTGTTGGACTTGATTTTCTCGACCTCATTGGCAGGTCGATGGTATTCATTGATATTCGAGTAGGTTGATGGTTTTTGATTGGTTTGGTCTTGTCTAAATTATTTTTCGACCTCGGTGGAAAGTCGAGGATATTCATAACTGTTGGAGCAGGTTGATTGCATTTTATTTGATGATGAATTTGTCGAATTGATTTGACTTCAAGGGCAGGTAGATGGGATTTATTACAACACGAGAAGGTTGATGGTTTTTTCTTGGTCTAGTCTTGTCGAATTTATTTTTTGACCTTGGTGGCAGGTCGAGGGAGTTCATTCATAGCAGTTCATGAAGTCAGGTCGTTCGTGTTTTGAGAAGATATACAGCAGGCTTGAATTTTAAATTTTGAACTGGGGGCGATAAGATGAGGTAACCGGAAAGGCCTATCATTAAGCGGAGAGAGTTCGAACAAGGTGATTGAAAAAGTAGAAGATTTAAGTTCAAATTTTCAAATTCAAGACTTTGGGAGATCGGGCATATGGTTTTCAACTTCAGACTCGGTTTTTGATTTTTGACCTCAGTGGTCTCTCGGTTCTTGGTTTTCGACCTCATCGTTCATTACTCGATTTTTAGTTTTTTAGACCTCAGCGGTCTCTCGATTCTCGGCTCTTGACCTCATCGGCAGTTACTTAGTTTTCGACCTCAGTGGTTTCTCGATTCTCAGTGTTCTGACCTTAGTGGTTTCTCGATTCTCAAGGTTCGACCTCAGCGGTCTCTTGATTCTCGGCTTTCGACCTTATCGGCGATTACTCAGTTTTCAGTCTTCGACCTCATCGGCGATTACTTGGTTTTCGGTTTTCCACCTCAGTGGTCTCCCGATTCTTGGTTTTCGACCTCATCGGTGATTATTCAGTTTTTGGTTTTTTACGACCTCAGTCTCTCGATTCTCAGTTTTCGACCTCAGTGGTCTCTCGGTTCTCGGCTTTTGACCTCAGTTGTCATTCGGCTTTTGGGTTTCAGTTTTCCGACCTCTGCGAAAGGTCCTTCAATTATTTATCTCAGTGGATGGTCATTCGATTTTTGACCCATTACGGTCTCCCAGTGCTCATTGGGGAGTTTTATGATTATTCGGTGATCGGGAACTTATTCAAATTATAACCGCAGTGGCAGGTTGACGGAAGCGGCTCGAAGAGACATTTCACTCTTGGATCGAGTTATGCTTACTCGACTAGATCGGGTTTAATGGATAAAATGAATATATATTGGAGGATAAGCCCATGTACAGACTATGACATATAGTATAACGATATGTGCCAAGCCCAACTTGAGCCCAAAAAGGTACACTCCCCCTATAAAAAGGGCCTAAGGTATCACATTCTCTCATTCTC